TGATTTAAATTTTGGTTATATCAATCAGAGATTTTTCTAAAATTTCGGTTCTACCCGTTTCTAGTTGATGCCTGTAGTTTCATGTTCTTGATTTGCACTCTGTTTACCTTTTTCCGGGCTGAGATTTTCACTTCCCTTCTATCGTGAGGTGTCCACGTCTTTTGTAGTTTGTAACGTATTGATACGCGAGAGGGTAAATTATGGCTGTTGCAATTCATTCTTAAACTCCTATGAAGTTCGAGCTATCAACTATAAATATAGTGATATTATTTTCACACAAATGTTTCTTTCTCCTTCCCATTACGTGGATTACGTAGATCTCACAATCCACCCTTTAGAGTCTAGCTTTTTTACTGTCATACCGTCTTGTATCCACCCCATTTGGGGCTCATCCTCCCTATTAGCACATCGCACCCTCCCTATTACGTAGACCTCACAAGTCCACCATTAGAAAGGTTTCTGTTTCGTTCTTTTCTCTAATTAATGTGAGATCTCACATGAAAAACATAGTCGAACATCTTGACATGTTTAAGTGATGAAACTTCACAGAGTCCGAGACAAGAAGTGTTGATCTTAGATTTTGAATATATAGTTAAATAATTTTAATTATATTTATGTTGATATATATTTATCAAATTAAATAATACTAGAGTAAAATTACCTATCACACATTGGTCTGATAGACGTCGATTAAATTAAAATTAGAGAAATGAATGATACCTTACAAGCCAACTCTACCAACCATTGAAATTAAACCGCACGTAATAATTGGAATTAAATGGTTGACCTTTTTCCTATAATAATTAGCACCATAATTATCATTACCCTTGACTAATCAAATAAATTTCACGTCAAATGATATATTTGTTTGAAAAATATGGTTGTTAATTATGCATTAATAAAAGCTATTTCCTTGATTTAAAATGTACAAGTCAGTTTAATTTAAAAGTGTACATAACTACTAGTCTAAATCTCTATGCACCACTCATTATTATTATTATTATTAAAAAAAACGTTTTCCATTTATCTTTTTTTTTTTATTTTTTTTTATTTAGAAATAAATGTGAAAAGGGTGAAGTTAGGTAAGCATCAAAATTTACAAAATATAATTTAAATAGATTATATATTTTTTTATTTGTATATAATGGGCAAGCAAGCTGTATAAATAAGAGTGAAAAAAAATATAAAATTATTTTTTCTTACCAAATTTATGCTTTTTTTCCCAACAAAAAGTGCCATTTAAATAATATTCAAATCCACGTGTTTTTACTACTTTTTTTTTATTTTATTTTATATTTTTAGTTCCGTATTTATCTACAACCTGTTTTCTAACGTTTATCGTTTCTTATGTTTTTTATTTTATTTTTTTAAATAAGATAATAAAACAGCATTTAGTAATTAATTCTTGTTTTGTTATTGTAAAAAACATAAATATATTTAGCTAACTACCACCCGTAGATATTATTTGCTCATTATGTATAGCCATCTCACGTTTTTAAAGCATGTATAGTATGGAGAAGTTTCCACAGTTTTGAAATGCTTTGTTCTCCTCTCCCATCGATGCGAAATCTCTCATATAGTTATCTCTACATACTATTGTTCTTACTCACATATTTCTCAGAAAATTTCTCAAAAACACTACTCAACATATGATTGCTTCAAACAAAGTACGTTCAATTTAGAGCTTTTATGATTGAGTTTTTGAAAAGGAAGATATACCATGTTGGTATAAGTAATAACTTCAATTTTTTTAAAGTTTTTATCAGATCACTCTTATTTGAAAATGGTATCGATTCATTCATGTATTTCTGGTTTATTCAAAAGTCATTCAATAATTTAAATTAAAAAGAAACAAACTTTAAAGGTAATTCTACATTTAAAAAGACAAAAAAAAAAAAAAAATGTTTTGTATTTTTGTTTATTGTCAAATTCAAGAGTTTGAAAACTCTTACCTTTCTGATTCCATTTAAATAAAAAGACAACATAATTATTATTTTTTAAATCTTTTATTTAGCAAGTAGGTGAAATATATTTTCAATGGAATTTATTAGACCTTTTAAAAAAATAAAAAATAAAATTGTTTAATTGTCTCAACTTTCTTGGAATATGTATTTATGTATTTCAACATTTACTTTAGAAGGCTAAATTAATAAAAAATAAAATAAAAAAAAAACCTTAAAACTTTGTATTTTGTCTTTAAAATATTTTTAATTTTCAAAATTTTCAATAATATCTTTAAAACTTTATTTTAAATATACCCTTAAAATTAAAAAAAAAATAATATTATATTTAAAAAATATTCATGAAATAGTATTAATCTCCTTTACCTAAAATAAATTATTGGATTATTATTTTCAAACTTTTTTAATATTAAAAATATTTTTGAAGTTGATGGACATTTTTAAAATTTTTAATAAATATTTTTTCAAAACTAACGTAAATGTATTATTTATTTATTATTTTTAAAATTTTGAACAGTATTTTTTATTAATTTAGAAATTAACAATAGCTCGAAATACTTTTTATAAAAATCATGAATGAAGGTTAAAATAGTAAAATTGATATTGTAGCCTTGGCTTTGAATTTCAAGTTCAAATAGCTATTGAATTTTTAAAAATAATTATTTTGATTATTTGTATATTATTTTTCTATCTAATTTAAATATATTCTTGTAACATATTAACATAAATATTGAATTTAATCGAAAATAAAAATACCAATATATATATATATATATATATTAAATTTTGGAAAATAAATGTTGGCCCTCCCCCTTCGGTATCGTGAGGGCCATATTTGAATTTCATTAAAATAAAATAAAAAAGAATTGAATGGACTTTTTCGTCAAATCACAGGTTTGTTAAACGGTTGATGATACTGTGGGCGGGCGAATCTGACCTTTTTCCATTTTATCATTATTATTTTTTAATTATTTATTTTTAATTTTCAATTGTTTTATTTACAAGAACATGAGGATTTGACTTCAAAAATATTCCTTTTCATCAAAACCTCACAAAATTTAAAACAATTTTCTAAAATTATTTTTGTTTGTACTCTGAGTTTGTTAGTCTAAAAAATTTACGGTAACTTTTTTTATAAAAGGTTTAATTTTTTTTATCGTCCATATATAAACGAAAGTTATCTATTGATACGGTAGATTATCTTCTTTTTTAATGCTTCATTTGAAAATTTATTATTATTTTAAGATTTGTTTGCATTTCACTTCTCGATCATTAGTTCAAGTGGGCTAAGAACGTATAGATTATCTTTCAAATCAAAAAATGACTTATTACATTAATAAGTTTCATATTGTAATCTGTCAAATACATGAATTTTCGTATTTTTTAAAAGATAAAATATATTAATTCTCAATGGTTCAATTTTCAAGATTTTTTTTTTTTTTTTTTTTTGGTATGTTCCAACGAATAATAGAAGACAAATATATTAAATGAATAAATAAATAATATTGTTTAAAATTGAAAGTGGACAATAAATAATTAATAGCATAAACATTATAGTAAGAAAATAGAGTAATTTGAAGCTCACTCCACGTAATAAATATTACACGAAATTTGCATAAAATAAGGAGGGAACAAATTGACCAATTTAATTATAAAATAAATAAATATAATATAATATAATATAATATATAGAAGCTTGGTTGGAGCTTATCCATGTGCTTAGAACCGTACCTATTGTACCAATTTTAATAAAATACTAATTAGTTACACCAAATCCTTTTATTTTTTTTTTCAATTCAAATGGTTGACTCTTCATGTAATTCAATAATTATGCCTTTTAATTACCAAATTTCCCGTTAATCTCGATTATATTATATTATATTACTTTGTTCGATTTTTTTAATTTCAATCTATATCGAATTTTGTCACATGTGTCGATCTGGTTGTTGTGTTCGGTGAGTTTGAGTTCTGCTTATAATTAACATATAATATTAAAAAATAAAAAGAATTTTCGTTCGAGATTAGAGGTATGATGAGACGGGTTGCTTATAAGAATGGATGACATTGTCTCTCTTGACTTTTATATTTGAATTGAGACGAATATTTTGTTGTGAAAACTTGTCTGGATTAGGGTGGAAATTCTCTTTATCTTTTAAAAATATATATTAATAGTCATACATCATCAAGATAATCAAGATAATATATGAGTAATTTTTTTTATTTTATAAAATAATAGATTTAATGATTAGAATTATAAATGTATTATAAATTTCATGATTAAATTTAAAATTTATATTTAGCCTTTTGAGATTTTTAATGCTATCATTACATAAAATGAAAATCTATCTTCAGTAGACACGTTTGTGCTAGTGGTGGTCTTGAACTGTTATAATGGTATCAAAATTAGACATGGGGTGATGTGCTAGTGAGGATGTTAGACCCTCAAGGGAGTGCATTGTGAGATGGTCTTGGACTGTTACAATGGTATTAGAACCAAACACAGGGCGATGTGCCACTGAGGATGCTGAGCCCAATGGGAGTGGATTGTGAATCTCACATAAGTTAGAGGGGAACAAAACGTAAGCTGATGATGATAAGTAACGAGTAAAATCGGTCGGTTACAAAAACAAAAATAATTTTGTAGAGAAACTTAATATTATAAAAAGGAATAAAAAAGTGAATGATTTGTTTTTCCATAAATATGAGTGAGAATTAAAAATTAAAAAATTAAAAAATAAAAAAATTAAAAAGAGAAATTGGGAAGGACAAAAGGGTTGACTTTGTCAAGTTGGCTAGTAAGAAACGCCATTCCATTATTCTATTCCACATAAAATGAAAACATTTAAAAAAAATTATATTTTAATCTCAAAATTAAAAAAATTAGTGAGATATTCGAAACTAAAATAAATAAATAAATAAATAAATAAATAATAATAATAGATCCGTCGGTCATCGAGGAAACGTCAGTCACGTACTTAACTTCCCTCCTCCGTACGTCCTTCCTTCTTTATAAATTCTCATCTTCTTCACCGCAAAAACCAAACCCAAAAAAAACCGAGGATGATGTACGAACCAGGGCACCATTTTCAGGCCCAGAAGAAGCCGCAGCAGCTAAACAGATGGCGCCCATCCAAGAACAATAGCGAAGACTGCGATGAAGCTCTGGCAATGGTGGATTTGGATTTGAGTGGCTTATCTCTTGAATCTCTCCCCAATCCAACCCTCAATCTCGCTTCAATTTCGCATCTCGATCTCTCCAACAACAATCTTCAGGTAAATCCTAATTTAGGGAATGATGATGAGGAGTACAAACCCAAACCCAAACCCAAACCCATACCCATACCCATACCCATGTTCTTCATTTCAATACCTATCCTTATCCTTATCCCTCCCATTTAGTCAATACTTCCATTTATTTCTTTTGGACTTTGGTGCCGTTGTCGATGGCTTATCGCTTGCCTCGACTTCCTTTTGATGTAATATTGGTTGATTTTTAATATCAGGGTTTTTGGTTTTGAAGGTAATTCCTGAATCGTTAACGGCTCGGTTGTTGAATTTGGTGTCGTTTGATGTGCATTCGAATCAACTCAAGTCTCTTCCGAATTCTATTGGGTGTCTTTCGAAACTCAAGATTCTTAATGTCTCTGGTAACCTCATCGTTTCTCTTCCTTCCACGATTGAAAATTGCAGGTAACTTTCGTCTCTCGAGATTCATATATAAACACCTCCATGTTTTTGCTTCGCATCATTTTGTATAATTAAACAATAATATATTACATTTTTAAAAAAAAAATTGAGGAAAAAAAATTATCATTAAGCTTTAAATTGATGGCCTGAGATCAGAAGCGTACGCCGGCAAGTAAATTAATTAAGTTTCTTATTCCAATTATTAAAAAGAAAATTGGAATTTTTTTTATACAATAAAATTAAAAATTAATTAACAGAACAGATCAAACAAAAAATCTCTAATGAATTATATAATTTATCATTAATTAATAATTGATTTTACTCCTTTTTTTAAAACTATTTTTCTACACCAAAATATTTATTAATTTAAATATTATAAATTTATTAAAAAATACCGACTAAAATTTAAAGAAGATAAAGGAAATTTGTCAATGCTTATTTTCTATGGATTTGAATTTAGTAGCGGCGGATGCGGAGAAGAAATCACATTTAATGCTTATTTTTTATTTATTAAAAGCGACAAAGACTAGAGACTTTAAAATAATTAAATAAATAAATAATTCTTTGTTTCCATTTATTACGCAACTTTTCCAACGTGATACTTTATAATAGTTATTAATAATAAATTCAATATTTTATAAATTTAAATCTCTGCCTTTTTTTTTTCTTTTTTTTAATATTATTCAAAATGATAATTTAGTTGAATGAAAATTAATTTACTTTTTAGTATTGAAATTCTTGGAATTTTAAGTAAAGCATGCCACGTGTACATGATGACAGGTCATTGGAAGAGTTGCATGCCAACTTCAACCAGCTTACCAGGCTTCCAGACACCATAGGCTTTGAGTTGACCAATCTCAAGAAGTTAGCAGTCAACTCTAACAAGCTTGATTTCCTCCCCCACTCGCTCTCCCATTTGACCTCCCTCCGCGTGCTCGACACGCACCTCAACTGCCTCCGGTCACTCCCCGACGACTTGGAGAATCTCATCAACCTCCAAGTCTTGAACGTAAGCCAAAACTTTCAATACCTCCAAGCCCTCCCCTACTCCATTGGGCTCCTCATCTCCTTGGTCGAGCTTGACATCAGCTACAACAAGATCACCTCCCTCCCAGACTCCATTGGCTGCCTCAAGAATCTCAAGAAGCTCAACGTTGAAGGCAACCCTCTAGCATCGCCCCCGCCCGAGGTGATCGAGCAAGGTTTAGACGCAGTGAGGATGTACTTGAGCGACAGGATGAACGGAGTGCATAAAGGATCACATAAGAAGAGGTCATGGGTGGGGAAATTGGTGAAGTATGGAACTTTCAACAGCAGAGGGAATGGGGTGAGCCGAGAGGAGAAAGAGGGGTTCATCATGCCAGAGTATCGATCCATCGACGGCCTGGCATCACCGAGATACATGGGAATGTTCTCGCCGCGCCGTCTGTTCTCGCCCCGGCATACGTTCTCGAAGTGAGAAAGCTAAGAGTTGGTATAATATTTGTGTTATAGTTACAGATGATAGCAAAAATAGGGTTGGAGGTAGGAAGGGTTGAATGGGTCATGTAAATGTAAAAGACAATGGTAGGAAATGATGTAAGCTATTCGTTCCTTTTTGCCAACAATTGTGTTGTCTGCTCTGCTTCATAGGATTAACGTATGAAGTATTGTTTTAAGAATGTTTTGAATGTTTAAGGATGTTGTTTAAGGTGGAATGCTGGTAAGTTACTGACATAAAATAAGAAAACCAACACCCCCAGCCTATAAACTGTAACTTGCATCAACAATCAGGTCAAATATTCAAATTTTCACTCAAGTTGATATCCAATGCAAGAGCTAAAAATGCAAATCGAACACTATAAACATACACACAACTCTATGATACAAGCAAATAATGGAATTCAACACGATTCATTCAAACTTTGAGCTGAATCAAAACACATGCGCAGACACTCTCCGTTAAGAGAAATTCAAAATGCAGCAACCCCCACATTGCTACAATCTAAAAGACATGAGAAATTCATTCATCAAAAAGTGGTACAAAAGTGGTACAAAAGTCGGTCCAATGAGACTGTCTTACTTGAACAGGATCTATTATATAGGTCGTACTATCGTGTCTTTGAGTTCTAAAAAGGTTGGGGACGGGGATGATGACGAGACATCACACTCCCAAATCCTAAACAGGGGTTACAAAAAGGTTCTTTATGCAGGGCTTTGATCATAGATATGTAATTTACATGATCTAATAACATACATTGTCACTTGAAATCAAAGAAGAGGTCATTATATGGATGAGATATCACTTATACAACATATATCCAAATTATGCATTGATCCAGTAGAGATTTCATGTCATTCCTGATTAATCAATACTATTGAATGAAGAATAAAGCTTCAACCAGTGTATTGTTCAAAAGAATTTGCTTACCCTGCATATTTGACAAAGGTATTTGGGACTCCTTAACTACAAGATCGAGCTATCAAATTCCAGGAAGAAGCAACATGGACTATCAGATAAAGAATCATTAGCTCAGTTATTTTGCAAAAAGTTTGGTTCATATGAGCTTTAAAAGGGCATTGGAAAAATCTTATAAAGGAGACAAGAACATGAAGAAATATAACTCTATCACAAGTTAAACAAGCTGAGGAAACTGGACAGATACTACCGAACAATGTTGTAACAATCCAAGCCACCGCTAGTAGATATTGTTCTCTTTGGGCTTTCCCTTTGGAACTTCCCCACTCAAGGTTTTAAAATGGTCTGCTAGGGAGAGGCTTCCACACCCTTATAAAGAATGTTTTGTTATGTGGGATCTCATAAATGTTCTTAGCTTACTGAATCAGTCGTATGCATAGAAAAAGCTATAACAAAAGCCATAGAAATGAAATTATAAACCACCAGCAAGCAATTGAACAGCATGAATTCAGCAAGGAGAGCTCAGCCACATCAAGGCAAATAAACAAGAACCATAGAAATGATGCAGACAGGCTTGAGCTCTTAAATAAGAATCATATAACAAAAGCAGCCTAGTAGTTCATTAACAATGTCAAAATGTGTAACATCGCATAGGTTCCTCCATTCCTCGAGACAAAAGGGAATTCAAACTAGATTAAAGTAGATCCTAAATTTCTCTAATATATATCAACGAAGGTATGCGGGGATCTTAATACGAATGAACAGCATACTCATAACATACGCAATAACAACAGAAGAAATCCCAGCAGACGCATACGAAACCTTGACGCTTTTGGCGCGATTCCGATCAAGAGCAAGGTCCATGAGCACAATTCCGAGTCCACCCAGTACGAACATGAACCCAGAAGAAAGTCCCTCGATGATGTACTGCCCATTGACGCGACCCGGAAGAAAAACCACGGGTCGGACGGATCCAGTCGTCGGGTCCTGGGTGGATCCGATGCCAGGAGGCTCAACGATGACATCGTAGACGAAGCCGGAGATGACCATGAAGTAAGTGAGAAGGACAAGGGCGTAGACGGTCATCGGAGAGGGGAGGGTCAAGGTCGGAAGCTTGAGACGGAGGCGCGGCGGACGGAGGAAGGAAAATGGGAGAATACGAAGGATGTGGAAAATGGGGTCGATGGAGGAGAACGAAGCATCTGCCGATGCGGCGGCGGAAGTGATCTGACTGGAGGATTCCGATTTGGGAGGCATTTTTCCGGCTGGAATGAATTCGAAGATCCTCCCGATGTGAAGTTCGACGAATTGTGAGTTGGGATCTATCTCTTCAATCGCAAAGGTGCAAGATTGTGTAGAAATTGAACTCTTGTTTTTTCATAATTGTGAAAATGTCACCCTCGTAAAATAAATTTGACAATTAACCCCTTAAAAAAGCCAAATTACAAAAATCACCCTATTAGTAGTTTTTAAGTTTTCAATTCAAATTAATGGAACGACAATGCTTTTCCGTTAAAAATTAGTAAATTTTGAGTAACGACCTCGATTAGTACTATTACTCAATCGATTAAGTTTTTGATGTAATTTTATTGGTTGGGTTGAAAATAATTTTAGGTAGAAAATGTAAAAATTGGATCTTTAAGCATAAATTCAGAGGAAAAAGGATTCTAAAGGGGGAAGAACAAGTGGGGCTCTCAAGAATTTGTCCGCCAATTGCGAAAGTGAAGGAAGGAAGGCGCGTGGATTTCTCCGTCTCTCTCAGACAACTGTTTCCATTTTCCGCCATTAACGCTCCTCTCTTTCACTCACTCACTCACTTCACTGGTTAACCCTCCTTTTCCCATTTTCTGCTTTTGGGTTATTTGTTTCCAATCATGTTTTGTCCGTACACCCATTTCAACTCCATTTTAAACCCATTTATCCCTCTTCTTCAAGCCTAGCCGAATCCCATTACACGCCTCCTTACAGCCGCCACTGAGAGCGATTATCAGCGGCTATTGGGTCTTTCCGTGATGTTCAAATTCTTGTTCAAAAAGGATGTTCGCAAGATTCTCAAGCGCAAGGATAGCGATGCCGGCCAAAGGGGTACTTTCTTTCTCGTTTTTTGTTTGAATTTGGGTGTTTTTGCGGATTTCTCCTTGCATTTCGGATGGTTGTTCTAATGATTTCCATGTAGAATCCATAAACCCACCTAGCCATGAAGGGCTTTGTGAGTTTGGTACTCGTAGCTAATCAGATCTGGTCGTTTGATATCCATTTTGTTTCTTGAGTAGCCACTAAGTTAGGGTCTATTGCTCTGTTTTTTGATCTGTAGTGATTATTGTGGAAGTATTATAAATGGTTGCCCTCAATGAAATTGCATGTTGCATATGCCAAGACAATGAGTATCCATTTTAAGATCATCACATTGTTTTGTTTTCGCCATTTAGTATTGTTTTGGTGGATTAATGTGTCTTAGAATGGTTCATACCAACATTAGTTTAGTATGAGATGAAATTAGAAATCTATACTAATTGAGTTATTCAATCATGAAAACTTGGACAAATTTGTAAAATCAGGAAAATCGTTGGAGGATTTGCGAGGATCGTTATTTAGCAAATTTCGCTCGCCCGAAGGTGCCAAACGTCAGCAGCAACATTCTTGTGGTCCTGCTGTTGCTCTTACCTTCAATTTCTTTGTTGCAGTTAGTATTATCTTCATGAATAAATTGGTTGGTATTTCGCTGTCTATCTACTGTCGTTCATTGGATTGAGTTGGATTGGATTGTCGTGTTTGCAGCTGGTAATGCTTGTGGCGTTTTTCTCTGTCTGTGTCTTCAGGTGCTTAAAACTGTTGGCTTTACATTTCCTATATTTCTCAGTTTCATTCACTATTTCATCAGCTGGATATTGATGGCTATTTTCAACTTTTTCTCTATCCTTCCTGCATCTCCGCTATCGAAGACGACTCGTTCATCGACTTTACTTACTCTTGGTTTAGTTATGTCGCTATCTACGGGGCTTGCGAACGTGAGCTTGAAGTATAATAGGTGAGAGTCAACACTCCTGTTGTCCTTGATATGTTTTTTAGTGACATTCTGAATGCTAATATCAACTTCAGTGTGGGGTTTTATCAGATGGCAAAGATTGCTGTAACTCCATCCATTGTATTGGCAGAGTTTATATTATATGGAAAGAAAGTATCTTTCTTCAAGGTAAATGAAGCCCTTTATATACTGAAATTTTTGTATACTCTCTCAAAAGCTATCATGGCTTTTCTATTACAAATCATGGTTTGGACGATGTGGTTAATGATATGTATTGTGAGATCCCACATCGGTTGAAGAGGGGAACGAAACATTGCTTATGAGGGTGTGGAAACCTCTCCCTAGCAAACACGTTTTAAAACCTTGAGGGGAAGCCCGGAAGGGAAATGCCAAAGAGGACAATATTTGCTAACGGTGAACTTGGGTTGTTACAAATAGTATCAAAGTTAGTCATTGGGTGGCGTGCCAACGAGGACACTAGGCCCCAAAAGGGGGTGGACTGTGAGATCTCACATCGGTTGGAGAGGGAAACAAAGGATTGTTTATGAGGGTGTGGAAACCTCTCCCTAGTAGATGTGTTTTAAAACTCTGAGGGGAAGCCCAGAAGGGAAAACCCAAAGAAGACAATATCCGCTAGAGGTGGACTTGGGCTGTTACAAATGGTATCAAGGTCAGACATCGGATGGTATTCCAGCGAGGACGTTGGCCCCCCAAGGGAGGTGGATTGTGAGATCCCACATCGGTTAGAGAGGGGAAGAAGCATTGCTTATGAGGGCGTAGAAACCTCTCCCTACCAGACGCGTTTTAAAACTTTGAGGGAAAGCCCGGAAGGGAAAGCCTAAAGAGTACAATTTTCGCTAGCGGTGGACTTTGGCTGTTACATGCCTTGATATACCATTAGCCTTTATTTCTGGATTCTGATAAATCTTCTCTGTTCATCAAGGTCCTAGCACTTGTCGTGGTGTCTGTTGGTGTCGCTGTGGCTACGGTGACTGATATGCAGTTCGATCTCTTCGGTGCTTGTATTGCATTGGCATGGATCATTCCTAGCGCGGTTAATAAGATTCTTTGGTCCAGTCTGCAACAGCAGGAGAACTGGACAGCCATGGCGTATGTTCTACATTTTATCATTTATGTTTTCACTTTTTCATGTTACATTATTAGGGATTGAATCTGAAGTTTGAAATTTTGTGATAGGTTGATGTGGAAGACAACACCTATTACATTGTGTGGTTTTATTGCTTTAATACCTTTCTTAGACCCGCCTGGTGTTCTAACTTTCAACTGGAGCTTCAATAATACTCTGGCTATTCTGCTGTCAGCAATTCTAGGCTTCTTGCTTCAGTGGTCTGGTGCCTTGGCACTCGGGTATGTGAAATCTTTGTTTTTCATCAATCAACACACTTGTTCTTAATATATTTTAACACTTTTTCCAACGTTGTTTCACTTTGATTAGTTTATGCTACAATTCTTTCTATGATGCTATGTGAGATCCCACGTCAGTTGAAGAGGGGAATGAAACATTCCTTATAAGGGTGTGGAAACCTCTCTCTAGTAGACGCGTTTTAAAATCATGATGCTTACGGCGATACGTTACAGGCCAAAGTGGACAATATTTGTTAGCGGAGGGCTTGGGCTGTTACAAATGATATAAGAGCCAAACACCGAATGGTGTACTTACAAGGACGTTGGGCCCCCAAGAGGGGTGGATTGTGAGATCTCACATCGATTAGAGAGGGGAACGAAGCATTCCTTAAAAGGGTGTGGAAACCTCTCCCTTGAGGGGAAACCTAGAAGGGAAAGCCCAAAGAGGACAATATCTGCCCGTCGTGGGCTTGGGCTATTATAAATGATATCAGAGTCAAACACCGAACGGTGTCGTTGGCCCCCAAGAGGGGTGGATTGTGAGATTCCACATTGATGGGAGAGGAGATCGAAGCATTACTTATAAGGGTTTGGAAACCTCTCATCAGCAAACGTGTTTCAAAACCTTGAAGGGAAGCCTAGAAGTGAAAGTCCAAAAAAGACAATATCTGCTAGCGGTGGGTTTGGGCTGTTACAAATGGTATTAGAGCCAGACACCGGGCAGTGTGCCAACGAGGACGCTGGGTCCCTAAAAAGGGTGGATTGTGAAATTTCACATCGGTTGGAGAGGGGAATGAAGCATTTCTTATAAGGGTGAAAAAACCTCTTCCTAACAGACGCATCTTAAAAATTTAAAGGGAAGTCAAGAAAGAAAAGTCCAAAAAGGACAATATCTGCTTGAACTTGTTAAATCTCTCGAGTATTACTTGTTATATATGGATACTAACCTGATGAACACTCAAACATCATTTCTGTTGAGATATACATGATCTACTTCTATTAATCTCTTAGTTTCACGAAATCTACAGGGCTACCTCTGCTGTCAGCCACGTCGTACTCGGGCAGTTTAAAACCTGTGTCATCCTTCTCGGGAACTACTATCTCTTTAACGCCGATCCAGGCAAAACCAGTATATGTGGCGCGTTCACAGCTATAATGGGCATGTCAGTTTATACCTACCTGAACTTGAGACAGCAACAATCCAAAACATCTAAACAAGCCTCCTCTTTCCCAAAATCTAAACTTAGCAAGGAAAATGGAAGCACTCATGATGAGAAGTTAGGGGAGGAGTCTGTTTGAGGTAGGAGATGATACTCGCAGGCGTTACATCGATTCGTTTTTAGCTAACTCATCCATTTTTCTGCAGTTAGTGATAGGGATAGGGGATATATGCATGTTCATACGAGTAGACTCTTCGATTTTTAGCGATTTTTCTGCTTCATAATCTTTCATTCTCTTGCAAATTTTTGTTTCCTGATATGTAGAGTTGTCAAACTATTAACAATACATTGTAGAAATGAAATATACATTGAAGAAGCCATTGGTTTTTGTTTCTTTAGCAGCCTCATACTCTGGTAATGATTAGAGGTGTCTAATTGTCGATTCGGGGTGTTTTTTTAGACAGTTTTGCTATGAAAAACCTGTGGGATTAAGCCGAACGAGCTGAATCGAGTCGGGTTCGTTCTAATTGGTTTTGAGACGTAAAGTTGTAGGCAATGTGGAAAGAAGATTTGTAAGGGAAGGGAGCATTTCATTTGGTCTTTAGAGGCTTTTGAAGCACATGGTGGGTGTCGGCGTTGAGGCTGACAGAAAGTCTTTGTAAGTTTTTAAAAAAGAAAGGAGATGCCTTGTTTCTTGTAGGCTCAAAGACAAAGAGGTTTTCCTTTTATTTTTCCGTGCAAAACTCCATCACATGCACGGTTCTAACACGGTCGTAACACGGTCGTAACACCGTTGCAACGTGTATTATTAATTTATTATAACAACTAGAGATGTCTTTGAGACAGGGAAGAGCAAACTTTCCCTATCCCTATTTCCACGAAATGGGTTGGAGATTCTTTGTACGAAATTTATAGGAATTGGGTTCTCGTAGGAGTAATTTTTAAAAACTCAAGTTTCAATATCAAAGTGTAGGGCGATGGGGGTGGATATTTGGATAGGATCGATGATGGGGAATATAATCTCAGTCCTCAACTCTCTTTAGCTATTTCTCATCGTTCGAGTCCACATAGGACCCCGACCTCGCAGGTTAAATGAACAACTCTGTAACTTAGCTAGTTGAGTTCTATAACATTAATAATCATTTCTGACAAGATTCTAATCTAATTTGTATTAAAAAAGGAATATATTTTTCGAACATGCATGATACTATGGACAAGAACCCACATTTAAAATGTATTTATTATTCCAAAAACAAAATCTCATCAACCATTAATTAACTTTGGATTAATTATTAATTGCTTCATTTGGAGGGTTGTGTTCATAAAGGCACATGCATGTTCTTCAATAACATAACCATCTCAAGCTTTTGATGCCATCTTGGTTTGTGTATTCAAATCAGTGATCCAAAAAAATAACTCAAAATTTGCAGACAATAATACTAACAAATGTAATATATTTGTGGACAATTAATCCTAATCCTAAAACTCTCTCTACTAATTAATCTCCGATGAACACTTTAGAGTCCCAAAAGCACGTAATATAGTATCGTTATCGGTAAGGCAATCAACATTCCGAATATGACCCTGCATGCACCAAAGTTTATATAAGTGACGATCAGAAAATGATATCTATATTCTTTTGAAAGCAAGTAAAACTCACGCCGTGCTGAGTATATCTGCATGAACGTTGTACTCCTTGGCAAACACGAATGGCACGATCCCTTGTGGAAGCGCAGCTTGAACGATAGCAACATGAAGAAGAACGCCACGTAGACCAACTGCAATGGAAGTTGCAGCCATCACAGCCGGGCCTGTCAAGAACCTCACTGCCATTGAAAACGTTGCCACTGATTTCCCACAAGCTATGATCTTTGGTTGTAATGCCATGAACAAACCTGCAAAAGGGTATGAATCAATTAAGTTCAAGGTAATGAAAACAAGAGAGGGAAGTAGATTGATGAATACCAAGGCTGAACATAGCCATTCCCAAGCCAGCATCTGATAGAATTGATATCGATCCTTTGATGATGGTAGGCATTTCGATGTGCCATCGGTATGAAACGAGGGACCAAACAACACCGATGAGACTAGAATATGTGTTGGGATTTCGGATGAGCTTTCTCCATACCATGATGAGAATGAGGCGAGTCATGACACTTGCAGGAGGCATGTGTTGTTTATTGTTCTTCTGTTCATAATCTCCATCTTCTATGTTCATCTTTTTCTGAAAATCACTGTATGAAGATCCATTGTTATTTCCTTTAAACCTCTTCTTTGATCCTTCTTCCATGGATTCTTCATCTCTGTTCTTCCTTCCTGGACTCATATTCGCTATCACCTCTTGTAGCCCTGCATTCCCACGTAAAAAAACGTCACTCTTTATTTAGAGAATGATCATGAATTTATAAGTAAGGAATATGTCTCCGTTGGTATGAGGCCTTTTATTCAAAATCGTGGGAAGCTCAAAACAAAACCACGAGAGTTTATACTAAAAGTGGATAATATTATATCATTGTGGAGATTCGTGATTCCTAACATGGTATCAGAGTCATGCCCTTAACTTAACTATGTCAAAAGTGGAGTAAAAAGTGACTCAAAAGTGTCGAACAAAGGGGGTACTTTGTTCAAGAACTCAAGAGAGGGAGTTGAACCTCAATTAAGGGGAGGCTGTTCCAGGGCTCCACAAATGGTGTACTTTGTTCGAGGACTCTAGAGAAGGAGTCGAGCCTCGATTGAGAGGAGGCTGTTCTAGAGCTCCACAAAGGGTGTACTTTGTTTGAGGACTCTAGAGAAGGAGTCGAGCCTCGATTAAGGGAGGCTATTTGAGGGCTCCACAAAGGGTGTACTTTGTTCAAGGACTCCAGGGAAGGAGTCGAGGCTTGATTAAGGGATGACTGTTCGAGGGCACCATAGGCCTTGGGGAGCCTCTATAGTGTACTTTGTTCGAGGCTCCGATTACATCTCTATTAGTGCAAGACCTTTTAGAGAAGAAACTTAAAGCTAAGTCACGAGAGCTTACACTCAAATTGAACAATATTACACCATTCTAGAGAGTCGTTATTCCTAACATAAGCAAGTTTCGTTCTTTCTCTTACCTTTTGCAGCTATGGCTTCTTGTTGAGCTTTAGAAGCGTCGACCGCACCGAAATCCGAGGCGGTGGCGGCTCTATTCACAGCATGTTTACCCTCCGAGACAGGGGAGGCACTTGAACTCCAAACAAACATATGCAGCTCCTTGTTGTTATTAGCAGTAGAGTTCGCAGCTCCATGGCAGCTGCTGCTGCCATTCTGATCTTTCTTCTTCATTTGACCACCACTCGAAGACCCTGAAAACATGGGATTCGGCGGCGGATAAGACGGCATAGATCCACCATTAAAAAGCTCTCCACTCATACTCCTCCCTCCCCTTTTTTTCTTCAACATCTCCTCATCAAAGTTCGACGTTCTTGGCGTTGCTCCTTTCGATGATTGCAACGAGTAAACTTCACCTAAATCAATCAAAAAACAACCAAATTCAGCTCAAATCCATAGATCATACTAAAAAAAACCCATTTTTTTACCTTGAAAACTATTCGTGTAGCCATGTTTAGGACTAGGAGCTTTACTAGCAAACATGGCGTAAAAATCTGTCTGGTTGAAACTAGAAGCTCTAGGCGTTGGCTCTCTAGATGATTGAACAGAATAAATCTCAACCCCCGTAAGATTTGAAGCTCTAGGAGTCATGGAAGTCAGCGAATTCAAACCATGAGATTTATTAAAAGAAGAAACCATTGAAGAAGCTGCCGATCTTCTAACCACAACATGAAGCTTCCCATCATCGCCAATCTCCGCATCCGCTTGTAATTGCTCTCTTCCATTCAACGAAACCACATCGGAATCGACACGAAACGACGTAATCGAACCAGCTGTTTCAGGGAACTGCTCTGTTATCAGAAGCTTAGCTCCTCTGTATTCGAACATGAACAGCATTAAAGTATACCAAATTATACTCTGCAAGACAACAATTTGGACCATTAAATTGCCGGAGAAATCGCCGTACATAGCTTTGAGAAGAGGGATTCCCATAACGAGAGTGTTGGGAAGAGTGGAGAGTGAAAACAGAGTGATCATCCATTCGAGAGTCCCCTGTTTTGTGAAGCTCTGCCACAGAAACAGAGCAAATAAGATGACGATTTTTTGGAGGGAATCTGCTGCGATGAATTGGTAGTTCATGGCGTATGGATCGTTGGAGGAGATGAAATGGAAGGAAAGTAATGGAACGGCGAAGACGGCGACGAAACGGTTGATGCCGGAGCATTGATCGGGAGTGAAGATTTTCCACCATTTTACAGAGCCGTAAGCTAAGATCATTGCGACATACAGTGGGACAATGGCGGCGAAGACATCGTATATGTCTTTTCCGGTGATCATTTTTGATTTCAGAAGAAAAACAAGAAGAAATTGGGAGATGGGTTTGTTTGATTTGGTGTTCTTCCTCTGTTTCTGGGTTACATGAGGAAATTGGAGGAGAGGGAGGAGAGAAAGAAGGTGGGGATTGTGTGTACTTATAGGTGAGGTGGGTGTACGACGGTGGAGAGGCGGGGATCGGTGGTTTGCGGTGGAGGGGTGGAGAAAGGACAGGATTATTAAAATAATCGAAGAAGATCAGAGATTGTCGTTGAGAAAGGAAGAAACAGGAAAGTCGGCGGCACAGAAGGAGCTAGAGAGAGCACATGAGAGTTACAGGCATATTGGCAGTGATCCACGCCATTGTTCGTTGGAACACTTGGGTTTGTTTATTTGTATATTCAAATCTTTGGTGGTGGGACTTGAGCCCTTCAATTTGCTGCTCTTAATTATCACTTCTTTCGATTCTTCTTTGGGTTTTGGAGATACACCCAATCTACCCATGCACATGCTTTTCTGTGTATTTCTTTTAGTTCATATGGAGTGAGTAGATCCCACGTTTGCTTCGATACTCGTAAATGTTTGAGCTTAACTCATAACTGTCTCCTCCCTTCGTTTATATTGATGCTTACTGCGAGATCCCATATTAATTGGAGAGAGAAATGAATGTTAGCGAGAATGTTGGCCTCGAAGAGGTGGATTGTGTGATTCCACCTCGATTGGAAAGTGAAAATCTCTCACTAGTATTAATGTTTTAAAAGTCTTGAAGAGAATCTCGAAACGCAAAGTCAAAAGAGGACAATGTCTGCTAGTGAGTTTTAGCTGTTACATTTACTATGGCTGGGGTGGAGTAGAGGAGGAGGTCTTCATTTACTATGTACTTGTCTAACTCGCTCAAAAGCTCTTGATGTAGTGGCTATTGATTTATTCTCAATCTGAATAGCACCTGATGCCCCTGGTATTCACCAGCGACATGGTCACCTTGAATTTAGCGAGTCCTTCCAAC